ACAAATATGCCTAATATTTGAAAAATCTAAAAAATGAATGTAAAAGGCCAAATATTCTATTGACAAATATGCAAACTATAATTCATAAAAAAATTAAAAACATCTTTACACATAGGAAAACATCAACTTTTTTATTCACTCTAGAAAAATGCATATTGAGGTCTGGCCAAATAGCTCAGTGGACTAAAGCACCTGCTTAGGCACAGTGCAGCTGCCAGGGTTCAATCCCAGGCCTGCCACGCAGGCCCTGTCCCTGGGCGCGCTGAAGTGGTGATTGAGACTGGGCATGGTGGTGCGTGCCTGTAATCCCAGCACTTGGGAAAATGAAAACAGAATATGAGTCCAATCTACATAGTGAGACCCCATATGCCCCATAGACCCTGTCCTAAATACATTAAAAAAAAGAAAAAATGCATATTAAAACTATGCTAAAATACATCCCTCAGACTAGCAAGCAAAAGAAAATCCAGAGCTTAACAGCAAGCTCTGTTGACAAGACTATGTGAAACAGGACAGCAGAAACGAAATACAGGAAGGTGAACATCTGAAGAACCAAGTCCACAGGGATGTACCATTTAGGGCTTGTCCAGCAAGTTTTCTGTGCTTTCATAACCTGAGAATACAAAAGATTAATGATGGTAGAGGAAGGGCTGGGATATAGGAGAACATGAAAGACAGATTTAAGAGTAATTAGAAAAATGGAGAGAAACAGAAGCCTAAAAGGAAACAAAAAACATAAAAGAATGAGAAAGTTGTTTTGATATTATTTTTATAGCTGTAAACGAGGGGAGGCAGCGGGGCTTGAGGAGCTATGGGTGGGGGTCACAGGAGGAATTTATAAACAAAGCAGGAAAGTTTATGGAGCACGTATCATTTATAACCAGCAGATATGCTACATTGGAAGACCTCAGTTACGGCCTTTGTTGAGGGAGGAAAAAGGCTGTGTTCCCCAAAGCACTGTTTTGTAAAGTTCCGTAATGAAGGATCAGTTTGTGTTTCACTAAAAACAAAAGGTTTACGCTTTCCTCTCTTCCTGTAGAAGGCAGGTTCCAAGGCTGCAGTGGATGCCTGACACAGGACTGCAGGACCACTGGCGGCTGATCTGATGGGCCGGACAGCTGCGATGTGACAGCAGACAGGCGCACATAAGGCAGGGGACACAGGGCGGCTCACACCCTGGTGGACACAGCGTCAGGCAGGCTGCTCACGACAGTGTGCCCCTGCAGCTTCCCAACTGCCTACATTCACAGGCTTCCCACTAATACAGACAGACTGCAGCCGACCGCATCCCAGGGCCTCCATGACTGGTTGTGGGCCAACGCTTCCGTAAGCTTCCCAAGTACTAGGAGGATATGTCAGAAGGGCTGAGTCTGGGAATGGCTGCACCTAGCACATGTGGGTGCCAAGAGTTTAAATGAACACAGCATTTCCATCCTAGCTATTCATAAATGAGCACGTGTTCACAGAAGGCTGCTCTGCAGAAGCGCCTGGCACACCACCGGGTATGTCTGGTAAGAGGCTAAGAGGGGACTACCCGCAGGGGGCTCACGACAAATAAGATGACATATTTAGGAAGACTCTAGGACACACATCACTTACAGAGTAGCACAGCAAGACCTTCCAGCGGCACCAGAGCATGAAGCTGTCTGCGATTACTTCGTGTGCTGTTTGGCCTTTTGTCTCAGAAATAGACATGAAGGGCAATTCAAAAGCCTAATGGACACTTCCAGGTGAATGAGTGAGTGACTAAGTGAAAGGGCCTTTCTCCAAAAGGCACCTGTAAAGTCTTAACTGGCCCTTACTTTTATGTGGAGGATTTTGAAGGTGTACTAACGCATGCTTTTATATAATTTTGAATTCTTTACATATATTTTATATTTAAATACACGCTACATTTATACCTTTATGTGCTGCATGTCAGGGTCAAGTGAGTGAAGCATTTCATCCTTTCACCCAGGGCAGTTCCTACTTGGTCTCTCACGGGCAAGGATTGCTTCCTCTTTAAACAAGAGGCAGCTGCATCCTCATCCTGCTGTTATCCACGCTGCTGACAGCAGGGGGCACTGTCACATGAAACCCCGGCCTTCCTCCCCACTCCTGCAGCCGCTCAACTGGGAAGAGACTAAGATACTAGGAGACTGATGCACCAGAACTATTGTGAAATTTCTTAGGGTACAACGGGACATATTTAACTGCTAAACTGAAGCTTGACTCATAAATTATAAAAAAATAACTAATACACGGCTTTTACTGAATCTTTTCTCAAACTGTTAGTATTAAAGTATGCTTTTTATGTGAAGATGAAATAGAAAAAACAGAACAGATTTGTTTCAGAATATTTAGCATATACAGCTGTATAGAAAGCATGAGAGGAATTACCCTAAAATGCCATAATTGAGGGTTAAGCAAAGTTAACTCTAATGGGAGTGAGAGGTTGCGGGGAAGAAAGGGCGAGCAGGGATGCTTAGAGAGCTAGGACTGCTGCAATCCTTGACTCAGATGCACAGGTTCTTAGTGTGTCACAGCCATGGAGCCGATCATTTATGCTTTATACACACAGAACCAAAATCTTAAGAAGCCCTATAAGAACAACTAACTTAGCAGGCAGAAGAACTATCTTTAATACACAAATTGTCTGAAAAAATGTAAGTGTAAAAATATACTTAAAAACAGAATTTCTAAACCAGGGGTTCATGGGAAATGTTTCAAGTAGAGTTTCTTACATAGAACTTCCAGCTTTCATTAGGGTCTCAAAAAAGCAGATAAAAACAATGTAGAAATATTCAAGTATTAATATTGGTCCAGCTATTTCAAAAGTTCCAAAATTATTCTAATATAAAATAAAATATATCTAAAGTTAGAAGAGCTCCTGGCTAGGAAAATCATTATCTTCAATAATAAAATTAAAAATTCTGAAGCCAGGCATGGTGGTAGATCCTGTAATCCCAGCACTTAGGAGGCTGAAGCAGGGGAATTTCAAGTTTGAAGCCCACTCCGGCTACGCAGTAACAATTCTACTCTCATGTTTTCACCCTGAAGAAACATATTCTCACACAGCTATCCACAAATATTCCAAATAGCTTTGCTTATAATACCACCTAGAAATAGCTCATCTTCCACGATAGCCTGTGTGTGCTGTAAGCATGGGAAGGAGCATTACTAAACAGTAAACAAACCACTTGTACACACAAGAGCACAGTTAAATCCCAAACATAAACTGGCATATTCTCAGAATTAAATATTTTCAAACATTAAAGAATGAAGCACTGATGCGTGGTACAACACACAAGAGTCTCAGAATAATCACTCACTAAGGAAACCAGATAACCAAAAGGAGCATGTACTCTAACAATCTAGGTATGTAAAACTTTTAAAAGATCTGCTTTAAGTGAGACAGTGCTCAGTATTTACCTTGGGGTAGAAAAGGGAGCTTGTGGGGGAGGGTGTAGGCCAGCAGGGTCTGCGGCAGCTACGTGGACACAGACATGCATCAAAATCCACTCACGCTGCAGTCATGCTGGGTGCAAGCTGCCGTCTGTCACCCGTGACGTCGCTAGAGTTAATTCTTAAACACTGTTGAAATGTCGCACAAGGCAGAGCATGCAAGTAACCAGAGTGCTCCGTGCCCAAGCAGAGCAGTGCTCTCTGCAGTGCTGGAGCTCGAGTGTCCACTGAGCAGAACACAAGCGAGCCCAGGGCTGGCCTGAAGGGAAACCTCCCAATGAAGACATAAGGAACTTAAAAGGTGAAAAAGAGAAACCTAAGGCATGTTATGCTCATGGGGACATGAGGAGTACAACCGTTACATATTGCAAGCATGTACTAACAAAAAGAAAAAGAAAAGATTCTAAATTCAAAGAAAACAACGAAGTATACCAGAGTGCTGTTGTCCTGGCATTTCTGAAAAACAGCATATTGTAAGATAATTTTAAGACCAAAGGTGATATTAGCGAGTTACACCAACTGGTATTTCAAGTTAGGCATTCACACCAATTCACGCTGTATGCGTGCACACTTTTGCTGGTGCTTATCTATAAATACTGCAGGAAACCGAGACCAAGCCAGGAAGCAGTGAGCTGCTCGAGCCCGGCGTGACCTGGGCTGCAGTTTGCAGCTGCTGAGCCGGAGCTCCAGCTCCTTCGGGCTTTCCTGTGTTCGCTCCAGTCCTGCTGCGCACGCAGCCTCTGGTGCAACGGGCTGCAGTGTGCGGACCTGCACCGACTCGCGCTGGTCAGGAGTGCTCAAAAATGCTAACGAGAAGGCAGTCGCACGAGCACGAAAAGCTTCAGGGTTTAGAGAACATCATTCCTGTGCGGAACAGCTATCCAATACTGAAAAGAATTCTACACTGGAGAGCTGTTGGTCCCAAAGAACTTTCCTAATTTTCTGTTGTGTGTGTGTGTGTGTGTGTGTGTGTGTGTGTGTGTGTGTGTGTGTCTAGTTGAGACGAGGTCTCCCTACGTAGCTCAGCTGGCCTTAATCCTACTTTGGGGCCCAGCCCCGCCTCAACCTCACAGGGACGCTCCTGCCTCGGCCTCCCTGAGAGGACAGGCACGCATCACCACACACAGCCATCTAACTTCGGAAATCTGCCTAAAACTCTGAGTCACATGGAGGCAAGCACGAGACAATCTCTGGAAAGCGCTTCTCTCGGTCGGTCCAAGGGCTCGTACAGCAGCCTCTTGCCCGTTCTCTTCTCTTTCAGCTTGCACCTCTGGTGAACGTCTTCTGTATTTTCGAGCTCGACACACTTGCTCAGCCTTCCTCTCCAGCATTTTGCTAACGTGGATCTGAGTTACTCAGGAGCGCTATGTTCTCAACAACTTTATGGACGGTAACAGTGACAGCAATTGTACTAAAACTATTATTTTAGTGACTAACCCAAAGAAAATACTCACTAGCTGACTTTTCTGTTAAGGAACATACAGAACAGCGGCAACATTCCGGCAGAAGGAAATCTGCAGTACATTCACGCAAGAGACACGCAGCGGTTCTCCCACCTGAAATCACAGGCCGTGGTGACCTCCGCGCCTCCGCCCAGGGCCCGGCCTTGCACCAGCGCGACACTTATTAAAGGAAGTCTGTATTACAAGAAAGGGCTGTTAATAGTTGTGACTTCAATATTAATTTACAAATACTATTTAAAAATCTTGAAATGCAGTGCAAATAAAACTACTGCACTGTGCTTATAACAAACATCAAAGAATAATGGGACCTTAAGCTTGTGCTGTAGCTGAAAATACAGTACAGTACTAAAAATACACTCATATTAAATGTCATGTAAATTTGCTTGTTTTGTACTGGAAAATAAATACAGGGCCTCCTTCTGAGCTACATCCTCAGTCTTTTTCTTATTTTTCATTTTGAGACAGGGTCTTACCATGTCACTAAGTTGCCCAGGCTGTGCTTGAACTTGCAATCCTCCTGCCTCAGCCTCATATACTGCTTGTTACCATTATACCCAGAAATTCTTAAACTGAAGGCACACTGAAACTTGACAGAGCTTTTGTATAAAATAACTTCTGGAGCTTCTAAGCAAGTAGTAATCCAGAAAAACTCAATGTAATACTGTCTTCACTCATTTTATTAACCTTAGGCTAAGGAAAGGAAAATCAAGGTTACATCCAAGGAAGAAGATGTGGCCCTGAAGTCAGAGCTCCAAAGGTGTGCAATGTAAGATCCTATCCAAAGTCAGCACATTACTGACTGAAACAATCTACAGTGTGATCGCATGTACAAGCATTATTTTAAAAATAAATTTCTTAATTATATTTGGAGAGAACCGACCTGCTGACTTATGCAATTATTACAAGGCAGATCTGTAATGTTTTAAAAGGAGGCTTCTGGGGGTTCTTCTTTCTCCCTGTAGGTTCTACTCTAAATGTAAATCTGCAATTCTAAACTAACTGAATATTTAATATATATACTTGCAAATAGAAAGGATTATCTAAAAATGAAAAACAACAACCAAAAAAATGGGGTTCTCCTGCCTCAGTCCCTCAGGAGCAGGCACAAAGCTAAAGACAAAGGGGCTGGGGGTGTGGCTCAGTGGCACTGCACCTCTAAAGTCCATTTTTAGGGCCACATGCACACAGAACAGCAGTTCAGATGTACCTAAGAAAAGGGGACGGATAAGTGGGCCAGGCGAACAGGCACTAAAACAAGAGAAACAGTGCTGCATGATAAGCTGGTGGCATTCTGGTGCCCTTCCTAGCCTCTCAGGTACATAAGTACAATACAGTGGCAAGCGCTTATTCCACTGAGCCATCTCTTGAAACTGCCTCACTGCTATTTGTTTCTCAATAAAATTATGAAAAAAAAAATACAGTGGCACCCTTAGTCAGTATGCCTAAATCTGAACTGCCTTAGTTTCTATAATTTTAAGTGTCTACATTCAGAATAGTTAATGTGAAACTAAGGAACCAAAACATGTTGCAGGGGGTTTCTTTTGTTTGTTTTTGTTTTTTTTTAGGTACAAACTTCTTTTTTTTTTTTTAAGTCAACAGAAAATGGAAATATACTTTTTAAAAAGTTTCTAATACTAGGAGAAGATATCATATAATGTCTTTTAAATAAATTTTAAGTCAAAGATACAGTATAGATTTTAGAACAAAAATTAAGATTAAGCAATATTCAGAAAATTAAATGTTTCAAAACAACTAAACTAAGAAAAGTTTTCATGATAGCA